ATGACTTAGACTAGGAACTTGGCGCTTTAAATTCTAGAGCGAATGATGACCAAGTTGATAGTGCCACTGAAAGGGAGATGATGAGGTCTGAAATACTCGAGGAGATGTATCAAGATCAAAATAATAAAGACCACCAGCTTCATGCCCCTTACCAATCTTCCTCTTCATCCAGAGAGATCTTGAAACACACAATCGCAAGGGAAAAAGGTTACCGAACAATTAAGAGAGCGAGTAATCTTGCTAATGGAAAATAAGCTAAAGGGAAACTGGGGAACAAAAAATACTGATGATAACGACATATCAGTACTCAATTGAGTAGTCCCTACACCTTAAACTATAGAGGAAGTGTCATTAGTAAGAGTAACACTATGTTGTGAATTGACAGATTGATAAGTAGAAAAGATACCAGATGAACCGGTCATATAGTCAGAGGCGCCAGAGTCTATGATCCAGGGACTGCGAGTGGAAGATAATAAACAAGTGGGAGCGGTACCTGACTGGGCAAATATGGCAGTAGAGGAGGATGGAACCTGCTGTTGGGACATAAGTTGAGTATACTCCTAGCAGGTAAGTGCAACTGACCTAGAGTCAGGTGGAGCTAGATGTGAAGTATCATCCTGATACGAGGCCTGATTAGCAACACCTGAAGGTTTGCCATGTAAATCCCAACAATAATTAACGGTGTGTCCTCCACAACCACAATGAGTGCACAAGCGAGAACCAGATCAACCACCACAACTTCCAATACAACCTCCTCGTCCCCCATGACCACCTCGAGAACTATCATTATGGCTAGTAGGAACAACAAGTGTTGAGCGGTCATGAGATAAACTACGGTCAACACCAAAAGTCCCGGTAGACAATATAACACGCTGTAAACGAGAGAAAATCTCAAGCAAAGTTGGGAGACTAGAACTGTCCAAAATATGGGAACGAACAGCCTCATATTGAGGTTTCAAACCCATCAGAAACTGGACAACATTCATATCTTCATGTTGCTTTTGCCACACTGCTGCATCAGTGGTGAACAGGTGATAAAATTTCAAATCCGCACAGACTCCTGTGACATGGGAATAATAATCTGCAAGGCTCAAATTGCCTTGTTCTAAACGAAAGTATTGTTGACAAACCTCATAGGCACGAGTAAAATTGTTTGTGCCCGAATACATAATGGCCAAGTGGTCCCAAATTTCTTTGGCCGTGTCCAGATAAAGTAAAGTGGAGCTAATATTAGCCTCAATACTATTCAATAATAAAGAAATAATCTGAGCATTTGCCTACTCCCACTCATTATAACCAGGTGTACCTTCTTTGGGTTTAGGGTCTACTAAATATTTCTTGAGACCTTTACCTTTCAAAAATACTTGGACTGATCGTGACCATGAAACATAATTTATCCCATCAAGCTTGACTGACATCATAGGACCATTAAATAGAGCAACAGAAGACAAACCAGGTGGCACAGCAGGAGAAGTAACAATGTATATGTCATCGTTCTTGGATTTCATAGCCATAGAGAGGCTGAAACAGTGCAAAAAGGAGACTGCTCAGTGGTGAACAGTACTGGATAGTAATAATCCAGAGTTGAACAGAACAAGAAAGCTTGCTGAATAGCTGAACCGGCCAAGAAAAGTTGTTGTACCGCTGAACCGGACAATAAAGGCACACTAGACCTCTGAACCGGACTGTAAAGGCTCACCAAACCACTGAACCGGGAAGGTAAGGTGCACTGGATCAATAAACCGGATAGGCAAGGTTCACAGAACCACTAAACTGGAGAAAAAGCTGGAAGAATAAGTCTGAACCTCGATCTGGGTCTAAAACTAGATCTGGGTCTGGGTCTGGGTCTAGATCTTGGGTCTGGATTGGGCTTGAGATTAATTTAAAGTCCGTGGACTTGGACCTGTTACCCAAACCAGTAACCGACCCATGAGGGTTGTCTTCTTCAACGAACTAGGGTTTACAACCAAACTCTATTCATCAGCAGTGCTCACACTAGATGACACTACTGGAAAACCCCAGTGGCCACACCACCACAGAAGCCATCGGAAGCCACACCAGTCGACAGCGCCTCACACACAAGCAACGGCGACACAGCAAAGAACAAGACCAAGAGATACCAATAACGATTGAGGAAAATCAACAATGATACCACATCACCACCACCATGAACAAGACCAAGAGCAACTCAGCAAAGAACCATTGGAACCTTGATTGCACGCCAAAGCTTCACTGGTGGGAATGCACAGAGTCAGTGCAAACCCATTCGATAAAAAAAAAAAGGAAAAGAATGGAAGAGAGAAGAAAAGAGAAGAAAGAAAAGAAAGAGAAAAGAAGATAAAAAGAAAAAATTATTAAGAGGATTAATAGCAGTCTTGCTCTAATACTAGGTTAAGATTAGAGAGAAACTTAACACAATATGAGAAAGACAAAGAGAGGTTTTGGCTTAACCTACCTCTCACTATTGGTTTTGTATTTATAGTCACCAAAATAAGAAATAACATACGAGTATACCCTTTGTGTGGTATACATATTACAATAAACGTAAACCCTAATTACATTATAGTAACTTTCCTAATTGTATTATAGTAACTTTCTCAACACTAGGAATGACTTGAAAAGAATCAATAATTTGGACAAAACTATGGCCATGTAGGAGAGTTTCTACTCCTACAAAGGTTGCATCTCTAATCCCTAGAGGAGATCTGTTCAATTCCACATGATAACACCATTGTCATCTCTTATGACCCCACCAGACTACCGTTTGTTTAACTCAATAACAGCAACTGCATTGTCTTACTTGGTTGGAAGTACAAGGTGAGTAGCTTGTTAGGAATTAGATAACTTAGAGCCGATCCTAAGAAAAAAGGTGAACCAGAGAAGAGTAGTAAAAGTAAGCGTTAAGGTGTTGGCGCTATGACCTTAAAGGTGAAAGTTCCTCCATAGGTCCTAAACAGGTTTAAGCTTTTGGACCACTTGGAACATAGGGTTACCCTCAACTTGGATATTCAATGCTTGCTCCACGGTTTGGAGAAAGGAGGGATGATTAGACTGCGTGATAGCAGAGAACTTTAGAGGTAGGTTATAGAGAGGATGGAAAGAGAGCGATATAAGCTACAAACAGAAGTCAATTCGTCTTTCGTCTGTATTGAGTCCCATACCAGGATGAAGAAATCTAAGGATTTATAGTCATGCTCATGGAAGTATTGACTGGTTTAATGCTCATACCAATATGGCAAAGCATTTGAACATTTTTCCTATTCTGAACTTTTAAAGCCACTAGAGTATTACCACTAAATTTAATAAGCATTTGCATACTGGATATAACCATCCACTAGGTTACATATTTATTCAATGGGCATAATAGTCATATTTTATGGAGCAGCTATACCGACAATAACATACAAGTATTCCATTTTCATTTAATACATAAAATATCACTAAAATTGCCAAAGGAGTCCAACCAATGTGCACAGGAAGTACTCCAAGAGCATTGAAACCCAAGTTATAGATAAAAGGCACGAGTATCAACCATCACATCTAAGCTCTCCACACTATTTTAAGAATTCATTTCCTTTTAATAGCTGGTGGTCTCATTCTACATTTCTGGAAGTTAACTATCACACTATGCAATGCCAATTAAGAAATAGACCGTCCATCCAAATCCAAACTTGTCCCAGCCAGATGTATCTAATGATTTTTCCAAGGACTATGATAAAAGTTTGAAAGAATCTTTGTCTGTTTCAGGAGAAGCGAGGCCAGGACAAAGAGAATAGCCAGAAAAGATAGACATAAGTAAGCCATGTCGAAAGAGTATGGAGGAAGCACAATATGTTGGACGGAGAGGGAGAGAGTTTAGGTTTGGGCATCTGGAAGGAGCTTGCCAAGGGAATAGAGGTGGGATTAATCGAGAGAAAATGATGAAGGGGCTAAAATTTGATGTAGTAGGAGAGGATCTTGTGGTATAGCCTAAAGAACATTCAATTTTTTATCATTTTTAATGACAATCTTGGTGACACATCAGAAAAAACCTAAAAGATTGGCACCCACGAAATCTTTACCCTTGACATATCTCTTACGGCAGATGACTTTTATTCACGACTTCTTAAAGGTGTTTTGACTAGTCATCACAGATATGATAAAAATTGAAGTTTTTGCAAAGTTATATAGAATTTAACTGCAATACCTTTACAAAATCTATCCTTACATAAGTTACTTCTTTTATAAATCCATTTATCATCTTTTGAGTTCATATGTACCCACCACCAAGAAAAAAGAAAAAAAAAGAAATAGCAATTTTCTCTATACATCCAAGGAATTTGTTCAATGTTTTCTCAATGTCTACTATTGACATTCATTTCAATGTAGTCCTCTAACATGGAGCGGTTGTCAGTCGGAGATTCATAGCATAAAAATAGAACTCTTATAGCATCAAAAATATATTTTTTTTTTAATATGAAACAATTAACACAATTACAATGAAATCTGAATGAACCATGAGCTTGCTGACTATTACAATGAAGTCTGAATGGATCAGAAACCTGAAAGAAGAGCATAATACATCCTAAAGGAGGGAAACACGTAAAAGACCAATCCTTGACTTTGGCAGGGGTTGACGCCCTGACCTCCTGATTGGGAGTATCAAGTGTGGCCAACCCAGTTAAACATCATAAAATTGATTTCCTTTCTTAAACGTCATACTTTGTGTTTATGTGGCACAAAGAAAATTTCTGAACTGACTGTTTTGAGACAAGCATATTTCGAGCATTCTTCATGTGATAAATGTTGACTAGACATATAACATATGACATTCTCCATGTGAAAAATCATGGATGAGCCTTAGGGAGATCCCCTACAATTGTGGCATTACTCCATTTCTTTGGCCAACACAATTTATCAAAACAACGTTGCGTACAGAAAGATCATAAAACCTAACACAGACAAAATAGACAAAAACTACTCATACAAGTTCAATGCATTATAAAATCAGAACAGAAAAATCAAATGCAGCACTTGATTAACTGTTTTCTTACATTGGCAGTAAGTGGAACATGGTGGTATGCTTTCATAAAGCCTGCAATGAGACTACGAAATCGTGTGCTTCCAGCAGGTGGCTCATATGGGAAAAATGAATTCTCTTTCAGAACACTGGCAAGATAAGCTAGGAAAGGAATCTTCTCATCCGCAACGGAATCATCTTCGAAAGATAAATCCAAAGAGTTGTTTATCTCATGGAACCCATTTTTGAGAAACTCAAAAATTCTTTTAACCTGTCAGTTTAACTCCATCATTACCCCTTTAGTTTTATACTCCATTGCATATAAAAGTCTGTAATATTAAGCATATATGTACTGCTAGCAATCTTACTTGATTTGGTTGACGAAGCTGACAACTGTAAACTGATAAAGCGTGAGATATACGACCACCAGCCTTCCCATAAGCCCATGCTGTTCGAGCACAAATCGGCTGATCTCCAGCAAGGCCCATGAAGAACTCAAAACGGTGTGGACTATTCTTTTCAATCTCAACTAAAGCTGAAATGTCTGTGTCAGAAGCCTGAAACAGCAAATGTCAAAAATATGCGTTTTCTGGAGACGAGGTCATTTTCACCAAAGAGGGTTTACTTGCCTGAAGGATTTTAGTCTGCCAAAGCTTGTTAACACGAAGACCACGGCGTTCAAACAAGCGTTTGCAAACACCTTGTCCTGGACGCCCTCCCATATTAAAGATCATAATCCCCATTGGTTTTATGACAGCAATTCCTTCTTCAACTGCCCTAGCAATTAGACCTAAGCCAAATTGGTCCTCCACAAAACCCTAAACAGAAAAAAAGTGCATAAACTAAATCAACACAATGATAAAAATTCTGTCCATTTACAATGAATAAAAACAAAATAGTATATCAATAAATACAACTTCGCCATCACATGGATAGCTATCCGTGTCTGATCAAGGATGAGGATGACGTGAATGCATCCATGACTAAATGCAACTTTCATATTTAAATTCAACAAACTGGAGCCATTTAATTTACAGGTACCATGATCGTTGCGCAAGAATAAGGAAAGGAAGAAGCGTTTTGGATTCAGTGTCTCTCAACATCTACCAAGCCTACCGTGGCATTTACACAAAAGCTAAACATGAAAAAGTCTCTAAACAGAAAAATTAATTTTTCCCTTTAATAAAACTTATACATACTATCTGAACAATGAATCAATAATAGAGTGTTAGGTCAATGGATAGAGATTTGTCTGCCATTAGAATGAGTTCACACGCATAATGTGCAAGTGTATGAAGTATGCATATAAATATGCAGCATATTTATGATCATTTTAAATTAGCAGGCACGACATGGGTCATGGGTGCTATAGGTAGTGTTGCAATCAAGTTTCTGGCAAGAAATAAGTTCAGGCAGTTTCAGATTTGATCAATGTTCTATAGGGATGAGATCATGGCCAACCCTAACCGGCCCCTATAACAAAGGAGTTAGGAAGTCTTACTGAGATATATAGACCCTAACTAACTCTCTAACCTATATAACCTGACTAGCCCATTTAATTCAATTACACCTTCTTTTCTTTTCTTTTCTATTTTATTAAAACATAACTGTGGTTAGCCTATTTAAAAGATTTGAAGTTTCACGATGGAATTTATCCAAATATATGCGTTGAAACAGAAAATTAGAACCCTGCTTGATAAAATGCAAATAATAAAATAATGAGCATTGAAGTGTACAGGACAAATATCCAAACTAAGCAATCTTATAACAACCAGCCACCAAAGATTCTTTACCAATTAAATTGGTTATTCAGGTTTCTTGCAATCTACTCTTGCAGTTATCTAGTTCGTTCATAGAACCTATTATCTACCTTAGTCCTTAGATATAACCTCTTTCGCGTCTGTTACTTTGATCTTAACAGTACCTATTTGTATAATGTTACCTCTAAGAGACCTCATATAGGCAACCTCACATGCCTAGCATACAAAACTCAACATAGAGGTCTTCATGAGTCAAGGTGCAAAATGTAAGATTAGATAGAGAAGGAAAAATAAGTTCATCCTAATCCTCATAATTCTCATGTGGACTTGTAGAAAGGAGCATAAGAAACCTACAGGTCAAAAGAACCAAACCAAGTAGCAGCACATTTAAGAGTCCATGTAAAGGGTTGTCTGTACTCAACCAACTCATGAATATCCCAGCCTGAGCCCACCTAATATATCATATGGGTTTGGGCAGGATGGTGGATTTGGGTAAAGATTGGCACCCCTAAGTAAGGCTTTCTGAATCAGTAACTCTCCCTCATTACACTAACAGCCCCACCCCACGGTCAGTTTCTCTTTCCCTAATTCAACATTGTTGTCTTGAAAATTCAAGTTTTTTTACAAACAAAAAGTCATCTAATTTTCTCCAACAAAAAATGGGGAAAACATTATTACATATAGAACCCTTCTTAGACACTTACTGGCATTTGATTGGTTTGCTTGATTCACTTAAACTATTCTGTTGTAAGTACAAACTTTACTAAGTGAATCTTGATTTAAGTATAAGCAAAGTAGATGCTACAAACAGGACTAAGTGTTTGTAAAAAATTCTTCCATAACATTTGCATTTAGTTCCATTTAGACTCCAAAGAAAAACTTGCCCCCCAATACAGTCATAAAACAGTAGTAGACTAGTGTCCTACGGTAGTTTCTGCATTTTCTTCATTATTGAGAACATTGAAATATCATAGCTACCAAATAGGCGTCAGCCAATCAAAAACTTAGGCATGCAACTTTCTAGTGATAGCGTGCTAAAAAAATAAAAGCAAGTCTCCACCATTTAGCATTCAAATAATAAGATGTCATCCAACCTGGAGTGCACAATAGTTACTCAATGAATGCAGAAATTCCTCGCTTGCATTTTCCGAAATCATCTTGGACATTGCATCTGGATTTGGATTAAGAATCTGCAGATGAAACAGAAGTGGAGAAAATACAACCGTGCGATAACATGTGAGATGACTAAAACCATGGAGCAATTTAAACAGCTTCTGTTATCTCAAAAACAAACAGGAAAATCCACTAATTAACATATACTATTCACAACAATACCTGTGGAATGCAGCCGACAATCCGTTCAAGTTCTATGTGATGATCCTTGCAGTAAGCTAGCAGATCGGATTCATGAAACTCTACTCTGTCAAGTAAAGTTTTATTCTCCCCGTCGTAGATTGGTTGGCCATTGTCATCCAAAGCATTTAAATATAAGTTTATCCAAGAAACCTTGACTGCTCTTGGATTTATATCGAGGCCATATACCTGTAAAATGATATTTTGCCACTAAGGAATTTCCCAGAAATTTATAAACCACAACTTTTTGTCTTGACGTGTAGAAGTTGATATAATTTACATAATACTAAACTGCAATACATACATACGTACATACATACAGACATACACGTATGTATGTATGTACGTACGTACGTATGTATGTATGTATGTATGTATGCATGCATGCTGCATCTTGCCACTAGTTCGTTCCATTATGGTCATGAATACCACTATATGGATCATCAAAGAAGCACTAATGATGCTAAAATTGTGGGATAGGAAGAAACAAAAACCTTTAGGGGTGACCACTTCTCAGCAATGGCAATGGATATCCATCCATTTCCACAACCAAGCTCAGCAACTGTCTTGTCATTGAAGATAGAGTCAGGATGTCTATTCAGTCCCTCATAAAAAGTAAAGGACCAGTCCTCTGGTATAAAGATGCTTGGGATCACCATCATTGTCAATTTCTTCCTTTTCTGGTAACCTTCAACAGCCAAAGAAAAATGTCAAACATTCTGAGTTAGCATAATGTGAGCAACCCAAAAAGAGCATGTACTTATAGTTAGCATAATGTGACATTCTGAGTTGAATTAACAGAAACAATATAAAGGATAAATGACCCTAAGAGGGAAATCTGAGTATGTCTTATCATTGCATGAACGACATGATTCAAAAGGAGTAAAATACTTCTTTTATTATTATTTCCTAAAAAGGGAATAAGCTTTGAATATCAATGATTACAGGCTAACTAATTCAGGAGGAGGAGTACAGACCTTTTTAATAAAGTTGCTGGCCACCAGATCAAAAACAAGGTCTTGTGGGTAGAAGTGACTTTCAAGGCCTTTGTGGGCAGCATAAAGACTCGTGATGCAGTCAAAGTAGATAATGAAAGCATGGGGTTAAGGCTTTAAAACCAAAAAATGAGGCATTATTTTCTGACAAGATAATATTCCAAACACTGTTCGATGGTGGAACGGATTCTAAAATGCTCGCATCTATTATACTATCAGCTTCATCTATTGGTCCAACAGGTTTTATACAACAATTGGATGGGGCTTACGTACTTTGATTATGGAGGTTTTCAATATAATGTTTTCTACAGCTGGGCAGGTGGTATACTAAATGCCTCACCTGTCAGCTGCAGGGCAAAGCAATCTTTAGGAAAAGCTTACTAGATCTCTGTGTAGTTTGTCTTCCTAGCGAACAAATATAATTCATGAGTATTTACCCCATTTGCTGAACATTGGAAAATCGACCACAGAAGCTTCCCGCTCCCAAATCCCCCCGCATTTTCCCACTTCATCATAGAGAAAGGGAAGGAAAGTCATCATTTTGGGTGGACCAAACTGCACTTTCCTTTTTGTAAAAGGGGTCTTAGGCTTTGTTTGATTCATGAATGAAAGGAGTAGAGGAAAAGAAAACGTAAAGAGAATCATGTGTTCATTTGGCTAATGGAAAATAAGGAAGAAAAAGAGAATTTTAGGACAAGTGAGTCAAATTTCTGATTCAACAGGTCATTTCGCTTTCTCAGTGCCAATTTGCAACCAAATTTTAAAATCTTTCTAACTTGTAGTCTTATTTAACTAGGGGAGCAAATATGAGGGAATTTGTCGTTCCTTTACCTCATCCTTCTCCATTTCTTCTCCCCGACAAAATCTCTGAACTAGGTGGAGTGTTAAGACTTTGAAGGCTAAAGTTTGCAAGGGGACTTCATAGGTATTCGCTACGAGGATATGTTCTAGGAAGTGATAGTATCCATGGGCAGTTGGCACCTTGCAAATATAGGTTAAGACTTTCAAGTGAGTGGTCCAAACAGGTTAGCAGCAGCTTTAACAAAATGATTTAAAATTTCCGTGTTCAATAGCATGTAACAAGAAGCGGACTACAACCCTCCCTACTTTTTTTACATTTTCCCACCCCATCACTTTGGATATTAGATAAGAATCATAGTGATAGAACTAGAGTAATACAAATAAATTTTTTAAAAAAATTAAAATGTGTGGTAGTTAATAAGTGGAGTGGAGGGGTGATTACATGAGATATGTGGCAAAATGTAATTGGATGAAATCACATGTTGCAATCAAATAAATAAAAATTCTAAGAAAAAATAAATTGGATAGAGAAAGCTTCCCAACCGTCATTCCTCAAAATTGATTGTAATAATACACAGTGTAAATGTTAATAAACTCTGGTTTTAAGCTATGTATAAAACCTAGAAAAAAATCTCTTTAGACACCATCAAAATCACTTGGTTGGGTCCTTGGTTCGGGAGGTATGACTCATTCTTACGCTATCTTCACTTAGTTCTCAACTATAAGAGTGTAGTTTCCAAGTCAACTCTTAAGGTATTTTCGGCAAACTCTATAACCAGTCCAGTGAGCACAAGACTGCCCAATTTTAGTTGCCGGTGTTTAGGAAGTCTGTTATTCTGAATTGGTCCTCAGTCCGGACTGAATAAGGCTTAAAGTCACTATACCATGTTTTCAAACCAACACATGGCTGATTTCACCCTGAACCAGCTTACATCATGCGGTGAGACCTGAACTAAACCAAATCTGGAGATTCCCAACCCTTTGTTTCCAGTATAAAAAATGGCATTATTGATCAGCATCCAAATCGTCAAAAAAAATCTAACGTTTTATTCGTGATGAATGCAGAGCAACTACGACATTACACCTTGTCAAATGTATACAAACAAGCATATATATAATAATATGTGAAATTAGAAATAGAAGTGATCGAAAAAGAGAGAAATGCGAATGACCTTCATATTGTTCAATATAAATGTCGTGGATTCGGAAATGGTAGGTTTGGAGGCATTGCTCGTTGGCCTCCTTGGCGTCGAAACGCTTCTGAAGATCAGACAGGAAAATCCGAGCCTGAGTACGAGTCGTTGGATCTTCGAGCCTCTCGAGGAGTGATCGGAACGCACTGTAAGCAGCGTCACCGGACTGCTCACAATGCTTCAAGAACTCGTCTACCGATCCACACAGCCCCTTCACCGCCATTTTTGTTACCCTTCCACAACAACAAATTCCAGAGAAGTTCAGAGAGAGAGGGAGAGAGAGAGAAAGAGAATTGGTTAGAGTGCTAGAGAAGAGGGAGGAGCTCCGGGAATATATGATACTGGGAAGTGGGAAGTGCAATTAGAAAGTAGTTAAATCTGCTTTATTTTTCATGTTTTAAAAAATTGCACCGGAGCCTCTAAAGTATTAAATATATTTTTACATGGTCCTTCGAGTAGACAATATTCAATATCCAAATTATTAATAATTTTGTGTCATAAATTTATCGCTTGATAGCTAAATATAAGTAAAAAATAATTTGTTTAGTTCTTGAATAAAATGTGAGTAGCTTATGATCAAAATTATATAATTTTGATAGTTTTTTTTAACTAAACTTTAGATAGAAATTTGGTCAAGTGCTATCCAAATTATTTTTTTTTTACCTATTTTAGATATTACGTGATAAGTTTATAATAAAAAATTGATAGTAATATGGACATTCTCTTCTTGAAGGGTTACATAGAAATATATTATATATTTTAGGAACTAAAATGATGCAATTAAAATATTAATGACTAAATAAAATAAATCTCATATTTTTGGCACATCTAGTACAATTAACCTTAAATTCTTTATATTGGCGTGTAACTTTTAAATTTTTATTATTTCACCACACAACTAAGCTGTGGGTAACAAATCGACTCTTATTGAATTTATATCATATTTAAATTACAATATGTCAAAGTTTACTCAACCCAATATATTTCGTATCATGTTTAATCGAGTTGTGTAAGATGCATCTAACATGTTTCGTATCATATTTAATCGGGTTTATGCCAATCCATCACATCAACTAAATGGGACATATAACATTATGTATTAATGTTAAGTTAATAAAGATAAAATTATGTTGCTGATTTTGTTACAAATAAATAAAAATTAGATAAAATTAATTTGAGACCAAGTTATAAATTAATCAAATTAATTGTAACTCAATATCGAAAAAAACTGTATATTAATCAATTTCAAGCAATGTTATATTATTATAATTTCATCAAATTAAATTAAATTTTTCTATATTTAATAATATTATACGTACCAAAATTTAGTCTAAATAATTTGACAGATGATATGGTAAGTAAATTTTAAATTTAAATAAATAAAAATAAGATAAAAAATATCATTTTTACTACTTAAAGATGGCAGTGGACCAAAAAAAAAATGATTAATCATTCAAATTCATTCCATTTGAACGAACGATGAACTCTATGTATTGAACGGTGGATATATATAAAAATACTCGTATAAACTCATGCAGGATAAAGGTGAAGATGGATTGAAACTCACTTCCACCCCCACTCTACTAAATCGATAATATATAAATTTTTATATTTGATTTATTTGTTACGTAATGAGTTTTTAACCTTTTTATAAATTCATTCGTGAGGTTCTATGTTTTTTTTAAATCATAAAATTAATTGTTATAAACGATCACGGCGGCGAAGACGCGAATCAAAATTTACAAGCAGAACCGGGACAAGACTTAAGAGTTTTTCCAACCAACAAGAATAAACCTAGAATGAACCAATATTTATTTAAAACAAGTATAGGGTGAAGACTAATCCCGTCCTGTCGCTGTCCACCGTCATCCCTATTAGCACGCGACTTCATTTAATCCTTTTTTGATAGCAGTCAAAAGTTACCTCCTCCCCTCCGTCATAACCGTACCCATATAAACACCATTAATTAAAATATTAGTCGGATTTATAATATAATGTTATATGGACTTAAAAAATAGACTTGATAATCTCAATCATTGATTTTACTGTAGATCTCAGCATTTATTGGGATCCACTACCTATTCAATGGTTGAGATTATCGAATCTACTTTTTAAGTTCACGTAGCATTACTATATCCAATATTCTCACAAATTGCTTTATTGAGCAACGTGATGTGATTCAATTGAACCATTCTGCCACGTGGAATAATGGGCTCCAATAATTCGGAAATTGCTTTTTGCGGGTATGTTATGCTCACAGTGACGTTGGTCTTTAATCAAACACCAACAACATAGAAGTCAATAATTAGTTTAATTCGTTACCGTCCTCGCTATTGTATCTTATTTTTATTATTTTTGTAAGTGTTTTTATAATTATTTTTGGTATAAAAAAAAGTTATAAAAATAATTATTACAACAGTGATAAAAATAATTACAACAATGATAAATCACCCATAAAGTGATAGTTTTTTGTATTGAAGAAAATTAATAAAAATAGTTATTACGATAGTGATAAATCGCCCACAAAAATAATAATTTTTTTTGTTATAAAATAACTCATAAAAATTATAAAAATATTCATTAAAATCGTAAAATTTAAAGGTACATTAACAATTTCTTTTAAGTACCGTAGTGTAGTCCTAATACGTATTGCTAGCTAGAATGAGAGTGTCACTTCCTGTTAATTTGGATGAAAGTCCTTGTCTAGGACGGTGTTACTATTTGTTATGTAACACTTTTTTTTTCCCTTTATTTGAGTTGTACTAAAGCTAAAAAAAATTAGATGAATATTGTTATGTTTTAATTTGATCAGCATTAGAATCGATTAAACTAAAATTGTTAATAAGGTTAGTTTAAATCAATTCAAAATATTAACATTGATCCCAATATTATTGAATTGTTCGTAACTCGACCAAATCATAGATTTCTCATTTTTGTGGATTTATTCTATTGACCATCCCAACAAAGTACTATATAAAATTATTTATTTTTTTATTTAATGGTCAGGAGTACGTGTTTGAGTTAGTTTATGCATATTTCGACTAATCTTCTCTTTGATTTAGTCAAAGACAAATCATCCATGTCGAGACTAGAGATTTCACGAGGAATAAAATTGTTGCCATAAAGGAATATTCATAATAAAGAAAATACATATTTGACCAGAACTCGATAGAAAAAGAAAATAAAATTGTAAAACATTCTCGTCCATTTGTTATTTTTCTATTGTTATGGAAGATCACATACTTACATGAGAAATTTAACAGGTGCAACACCTTGAGGTTTAACGTTAATTGCAATTTAGTTCTCAAAATTTTAATTTCATCAATTTAATTCTCAATATTCATACATTCAACTAATGTGTGGTCTTTTGCATAAACCACCATCCAGAAAAGTGATGAAAAATATCATGTGCATTGCATATGACAGTATTGCCGGACATTTTTGGTGTTTGATAATAATTTCTATTTTCAAACACCATTGTCCTTCGTCTAGATTATATTAGAGTAATGTTACAAATATCTTATTTAAAGACCTAATAATATAATTTTGACATAACTATTAAATTATTTGTGAGTTTTAATGTTAGATAGAATCTACAACCAATCCAATAATTATACAACATTAAATCCCCAAATAAGATTCCCAAATAAAGTCAAAATAACATTTTCCTATTGAATATGATACTAAGCACCTATCTTCTCCTTCCACTTTTTTTAAGCTTCTTTTTGTCTCGATCACAGAGTCATCTCCCTTTGTCTTCGATTAACTTTCTTCGCTCTCGTTATCTATCCCTCAAATAGTGCATAATTTTTGCCCTTTTTTTAAAGTCTCAAAACACTAGCACTAGGCGTCTCAAACACTAGCACTAGGCCTCTCAAAATTTAATACGACACAATTAATTGACACAAATCGACAGAAATTAAGCTGGTTTGAGTGAGACCTTAACGGATTCGGATGGTAAACAGGTTGACCCTTCAAACATGTTTAATAAACAGGTCGTGTTCGGGTGAGTCTTGTCACCAATTTATCATTTGTTTAAATAAAATTAATATAATAATAAATTAATAATTATTTTAAAAAATTAGGCAAATTTTTTTTAGAGACAGCTGCAGAAAATATATATATATTATTTTTAGTGATAGCCACAAATTTTTTTTTTTTTTTTAATTTAGTGACAGACACAAAAAATATAATAATAAATTAATAATAAATTAAAATTCAACGGGTTAAACGAGTCGTATTGTGTTACTCATTTATTTAAACGGTTCGTGTTCGTATTGAGATTTTTCACCCATTTATTAAACAGATCGTATATAAGTTTACATATTTTTCACCTGACACCCGTTTGACACCTAAGTCAAAGTATGCTTAACCCAACTCAAGTTACATGAGAATTTTGTGTTGGCTTGAATGACTTTATGTATTTTATATCAGAATATATGCTTAAGGTTATTGTGTTGACTTGATATCGGAATATACGCTTGAATTTGATTAATCAGCATTCTGTATTTGATATCAACATCCTGCCTATTTTTATTATTGGGTATCAGCATTGGTGTAATTGTTCTTTGATGTAATTGTGTTATTTTGTATTGTATTTATGATTTGTAATATGGCTGTTGGTGAAATTTGGTTGTTTTGGATTATGATTTGTACTTTGTAATATGGTGTGATATTTCTAAATATCATATTTTTTTGTGTTAGTTTGTTAGTTTTATAAAATTATATAATATTTTTAAAGAAACGGGTAAATGAATCAAACGGGTGGTTTACCGTGTTTGTGACAACTCGTATTAAAATTAATCACTAACATATAATTTAAGTCGTTAATTATGATCTCATATAATTAATGATCATTTTTAAAAATTTCAAATGAACCTCAAATATAATTTATTTATGTAAAAACGAGTCGCATAACTATAATATAAATCATATTTCGTGTTAAAATAAAATGTCATATTGTTAAAATAATATAATATATGAGTAATACGTCTGTTATATATATAATATATGTATTTTTATGTATTTTAGATATATAAGTGTCAAAGAAAGAAAAAAAAAATGGCCATATATATAAGTGGTGGCAAGAAAAAATAGACATATATTCTATACCAAAAAAAAAATGTATGAAGGAAATATGAACAATTGTCCGAGTGATGCAAGTTAGGTGACTTAAGCATGATGACTTAAGTCAATTGACATGTGATTTTTGGCCAAAAACTTTGGCTATAAATAGCTAGCACTTGGTCA